GGGCAGTCATTTAACAAAGAATCAAGATGCTAAAAACCAAATTAATAAGGATCTAAAGAACATAAAGAGAAGAAATTATATAATTATCTATGCACAAATATGAGGAGCCTGGGTATCAAACAAAATTTATTAGAATCACTCATTTATGAGCATAAATTCAATATAACTGGCATTATTGAAACCCGGTGGGATGTTGAAAATCAATTGTTATAACCTATTTAGGAATGACTGGTTGAGCAAAAGGGGAGTTGCTGCAGCACTTTATATCAAAATGGATATTACCAGTTTCTGAATCACTGAGAACGCTAAAGAAAATGACCTTGAATGCCTATGGTTCAGCTTCTTAACAGATATAGCACAAAATGGGGGGGTTAATATTGGCATTTGCTACATAGCACCAAATAATGCCAGAGAACAGAATGACCAGCAAGCTCTTTACCCATCTACCTATAAATATGTAGAAAAAAATCTGCATGATCATGAGGGACTTCAATTTGAGTGACATGCTGGAGATCTCATGCTACCAGTACTAAGACATTCCTTGGAATTGCTAAATATTCTAGATGACAAATTTCCTAACTGAAAAATGTGTTGCAACCAAATTCTATACTAGACCTCATCTTGATAGATTAAGAGGAACTGATCACAAAACTAAAAAATAATGGCAGTTTAGGTACTTGAGATTTATATTGTGCAAGCAAAAAAAAACACAAAACAAAACAGTAATATTTATATATACACACACGCATACCCACCCACATATATATATGGCCCGCCTGAGTATTTTAAAAGGGCCAATTTCACAAAACCAAAAACAATTATGAGCCTAAGCAACTGGGAGAAAGAATCAATTCAGAAAAATGTGAATAACTGAGAATTTACTAGATGTCCAATGAGCCAAATTGAGGAGGAAACTAGGGATGTAATAATATAGTCTATTAACCGATTAGCAAAAGCTTATAGGTTAATGCTATAGACTATACGCAATTTCCCTCCCACCCCTTGCAGTACATTTAGCAGCAGGCTGGCCAGAAGCCCAGCTCAGTCCTGGCTTGCACTGGGTCCTACACCTACCTCCACTGCGGCTCTGCATTTGAAGTGTATTAGGAACCAAGCAGGCAAGCAGCCCAGCTCATTCCAACTTGGGCTGGATCTGGGTGCTCAGGCCCCTCCCCCCCAGACAGGGACTTCCCTGGGACTATAGAATAGTCGACTAACTGATAAGAATGTATAAGGTTAATTGACTATTCAATTAACTGTTATTTAACTTCCCTAGAGGAAACCTAAGCTGATTAAAAATTTGCCTTGGTGTAAAGGGTACAGTAATACAGCTATTAAACACAAATACATAGCAAATGAAAAAGGGAAGCTGATAGTAATTAATATTAATCACAAACTAAGAATTACAGAAAATTCCTAAGGGAAGCAAAGGAACACAAGAAAAAAAATCTATAGTCAGAACAGTTAAGGAGAATCAGTTTTTAAAAGTGTGTTAGTAACAAAAATAATCCTAAAAGTTATATTGGTCCATTGCTAGATGGAAATGCTAGAATTATTAAAAATACAGAAAAAGCAGAAGCATTCAAACAAGTATTTCTGTTCTGAATTCTGAAAAAACAAGATGATATAGTT